ACGTGATAGTTTAAATGAGATTGCTTCTAAAAATAGTTTAGTAGCACGTTATTTTTTCGTAGGTTTTTAATTATCATATTCAGAAACATCCTTGACTACATTTTAGGCAAAGTATTTGTTATGAAATGACTGTAGATAATAAAATGATACGGATAAAGAGCAACAAAACAAAAGTATTTGGTAATTAGCATTATTCAAGGTTAAAGGTTTTAAAAGTATGTATGTGTAACATAGCAATCCAGAATATCATTACCTCAGTCAGTCGGCGAGCAACAAGTTCACGGTCAAGACCAAGAAAAAAACTATGAACTCAACACCACCATTCAACAAGCTAACTTTATAAACACTGAAAAACAAGTTGCATACACGACACACACTGAAAACTTTGAGTAATATTTAATCAGACTGCAATTGCGAAGCATAAAACATTACACCTTAATTTTGTACGAAATCTAAAAAAGTTAAAACGTTGACAAATTAATTTCATTAACAATCGGGAGGTTATGTTATTGTTGTGATAGCGCGAAACGTCAACACAACGTGGACTCTGCGAAGTTACTGAACCAGGGGGGTGCAACTCCCATACAAAGGAAAAGAACGTTCAACTAGCGCCATCTTTAGGAACCGGCGAGGTCATTTTTGAAACGTTTTGGCCTTAATGAACTAATAAACCCACTAGATGGCAGATACGAGTTCTGACTCAAAAAACATGTTAGCGTACTTTGAAGCAGTGCTTCCACTTTTAGGGAATTCTCCCTTTTTTAGGGAAAAATNCAGCGATTCTAAACGATAAGATTTTTTCATAAAGAGAGTTATTAAAAATATTAAAATTACTAAAAAAGCCACCTGGTGGGGGGTAGGGAGACTAATAATCGACCGTAGCGACGCCTGCTGGACCGGGCTTTAACTAAAGCAAAAATAAAAATGAGAGTTGCGCATCTATCTCTAATATATTAAGTGTATAATCTATGGAATAAGCGACTGACTGACTGAGTACCTACTGCCGCTGAGTGAACTGAAAGTAGTGAACAAAACGGATCGTGAATCGTGTAATTCGTGTTAGTTCAGTTGGTTGCATGATGTCTTTGTTTTTAGTAAATTCTGTTTACAATCTAGTTTACAATAGGAATCGGCATATCGACGTTTACAGGAGCAAATGTGTATTTTAAACATATTTATAGGTACTTTATAAATGATAAACAGTGTTTGATTTTTTTTATTACAGAAAGTTATTGTTTGGTCACTATATTCAATCACTAGTTATTTCTCAAAAGAAAAGCTTTTTGAAAACTTTTTGAAAAACCGAAATTCATGAAGATGATTCTTAATACAATCTAGAAGGCGCCTTAGCATCATCATTCTTATTTTACACGCTTTATATTAGCTTCATTCATAATAGAATACACTATTTTGCACTGTATACATTTCAATCATTTGGGAACTGCTTTATATTAATATATATTTTAGAAATTATTACATCAGGTAACATTCGAAAAACGTTTAGGACTGCATCCCCCAAACAAGTTTTTTTTTATTTTTTATTGCTTATATGGATGGACGAGCTCACAGCCCACCTGGTGTTAAGTGGTTACTGGAGCCCATGGACATCTACAACGTAAATGCGCCACCCACCTTGAAAGTTGAAGTTTTTGTTTTAAAAACAAAAAATATAAAAAGTGCTAATTAGGTCCGACAATAAGCCAAAAATGGCCAGAATAGGAATCTGACACCTACACATAAACGCGAGGCCGTTTTCTTAGAACAGTAGCATCAGTATCTTCATATTTTATAACACCTAAATTTCAAATTCCTTTTTTAACTACGCACAGGAAGAAGGCCGTGACGCTAATTAGGGATGTAAACCGGTTCGAAGAAAACCGGAGAAAAACCGGTTTTTATACATACCGATAAATACCGGTTTTTATTTAAGAATACCGGTTTTTTACGCTTTACATTCACAGTTCACACCAGTGCTACCAGATCAAATATACAAGCTACAAATATAAAAAAAACCGTGTTTCAGAATAAAATTACCGTGCATTACATTTAAAAACTACAGTGCAATAACCACAATATGGTTGGTAGACTTTTAGCGTACGAAATGAGGACCGTGACCCAAATATCCACATATCTGCACCCAACACTCAGAAATGACTTTCGCCAACCAGAGCACATGTTGTCTGCAAAAGAGATGGTGCATCGTGAACTGGGGAATCTTCTTGAAGAATTTTCAACTCTCGCTTTATCATCGGAACAGCCAGAAAAAACCACAAACAATTTTAAAAAGCCTGGTATTCTGGATTTTTGCATTCGCGAAAACGGGATAATTCCGAACGCCACGCGCCATGGCGGCCACAGTGAATATAGTGCGAATGTATATTGAGACTGAAGCCGCCACAGTAAACCACACCGATATTGCTGGCACGTGCTAGCATCCAGAAGGAGCAGGCTTCTGAATGACGCAGTGGACCAACTATGCCTCTTGCATCAAAATTTTGATTTAATACAATAGTATTAAATCAAAAATAAAAAGCTTTTTATTATTGGATATATATGATCATTAAAAGCCTATATAAAATATGCTCACCCAATTAATTGTATGAAGAAAACTCTTCGTTTGTACGTAAATTTGTTTTATTTAGTGATTATTTAGCCTTTATGGAAAAAAACCTAAAAATACCTAAAAAAACCATTTTATTACCGGAGCCAGAAATTGTAATCGGTTCACATCGCTAACGCTAATGCACACAGTCTGGGTAAATCTACCGTCCTATTTATTCCAAGCAATCATAAGCTTCGGATAAAAGAGTAGAACTATATTGCAATGGAGGCTTCAAAACTCGTGTCTCTTGTAAACTTGTTTAAATATGAGATCAAGTGAATATAAAATGATCCTTACAAAATTAAAACGGAGACTCACATGAAAATCGGAACTTTAATTTAAGGAAAACTTGTTTTTCTATAAACTTATGAAATAGGACTTCAGAATACAACTATATTTATTTTGTACTATTGGTAAACGTTACAGACAATACTATTTACCGAAAAGGGATCATTTATTCAATTTAAGCGGCCACGTCAAACTTTATCCTACAAATTTCTCATTTTTATTAATATTAATTAATGCTCTTTGTGTAGTATCTATGTTTTCCAATCATAGTAGTTTAATGTAATTATTTAGTAGTAAACAACAATGGCCGACAAGTAACCAAAGACAGTGTATAGTGTTGGGAAATCATAGAATGACCAAATGAATGACTAGGATAGGTCGCAAATGTAAAATAATGAACTAGTTCCCATTATAAAATGTATTTCTCTTTAGCTCAGTAAGTAAATTATTATCTTAACCAAAGAAGACAATATGATCAATATATACAATGTAGACAGTGGTACCATAAGAGGTAATATAAATGTATGTGTTTTTGCAGATATTAAAATAGTAAAAATACTGATTGGGCAAAGCGTTTTTTTGGCTCCGATTGTCGGCCATTGTGTCTACGGATCATTTAACTGATTTTTGAAGAAAATATTTGTTCTTTGGGATGAATTTTTTTACCGAAATGAATAAAATGAATTAATTTTAAGTAAGGAATAAAACAAGCTTATTAAGTTTTATTTGTATTCTAAATCATATGACGTATTATCGCTATCACTTTCAGATTCGAATACATGTATTAAGACACTCTGGGCCGGAGTGTCTATAGCAATTTGTATCAGTCAATATATGAATGCAGAAATATATGGTTTGTAAATCAAATATCCGAAATCAATATATAGTTTCGATTTCATACGCGGCAAAAGCGCTATTATCCACTCTTAATAACACTGACTGATTCGATAAATTAATATTTGGGGGCTATTGACTCTTTGATATCGATATTTTGAAACATATTTTATTATAATAATTTGTGTTGATAAAAGTAAACGTGTTCGCTGAGTAATAAAATTATTATAAAAATGATGAAATAAGCTTTTGATTGTTTGCAACATCTTTTAGTTTATGTATAAAAAGTTGAATATTCACACATAGTGCATTTCAATATTTCATTTACTTAGTGTTATTACGGTATGGCATTGCCTATACAAACCTTTATAATAGAGACGTTTTATTCAGTTAAAACTTCCAAAAGCACAGTAAAATGTTTTTTATTTTAAACTAGTTAGAAATTTGAACTTGTCATGAAAAGTTCATTTCTTTCATTTTCTAGAATGATTCACTCACCTACGGTGCATCCCTATGATTCATAAAGACTATTTTTTAAGGGATTTTATGACCTGGTAACTGAGACCTTTAACTCATGTCTTATTTTAATTTATATTCATATTTTTATGAAAAATGATATTATGGAGTGAAATGATATAAAGATGATTAATTTGAGACATTAATCGACTGGGATGAAATTAAATGAAACGAAATGGGATGAAATATAATCTCAATAAAATGGTGGTAATTTACTAAGGTTTTTTCAGTGGTTTTTTGGAGGGTCCCGAGAAGTTACGTCCAGCGGGTTTGTTTCATTTTCCCACATTTGTGCACTTTCACAGATATTAAACAGTTAATAAACCACCATTATTACACATTTAAACCCGAAGAAACACTAAATAGACAAAATAAAACAAATCACACAACTTCACTCCTCACGTTCCCGCCAAAAAGTCTTTTGCTGATTGCTTTGAAGATTTAGCCATAGGTTAACAGGGAAATTTTCCAGCCATAATAATCAAAATTAATTAATCAAGATAGTCTGGAAACAGAGAACAGGAGTCCTAAACTTTAGTTCAGCTCATCTCATCTAATCTTTTCTCATTCCAGTTCACTTTATGTAAATTCATCCATTTCATAATAATAAGTTTAATTCATTATCTTTCGTTTTTAACACAAATGGCTTTTACTTTTTGCAATAAAATAATGGCTTCACGAGCCAAGTTCCCTTTGCCTTTCCAAAAAAGTTGGAACTAGCAAACCAAAACCAATTTTGAAATTCATAACAGCTAAAATTAACAAAGTGCTGTTATTATCTTACTATTAAATAAACAATATTCAATTTATTCAGTAATTAATATCAATAAATGTGAGTTTTTCAGTAATCGGTTTGGGAAATTAGAAGTTTTATTTGATTTGAAAAAATCCCAGATTGAAAATGATCAGAACACTTCCATGGAGCGGGGGAACGGATGAGGAATATGAAACACAGCTCTTTAGTTTTGGAGCACAAAGATTGAAAATTGCAACACGACAAATGATAGAACAGAAAATAACATTAGGAATAAAGGATATGGAGGCTTACTTGCGCGAGTCCTTAGATTTGAATGAAACTGATAAATCAACATTAACGAAAGCGTGTGATAAATTGGTGCGCCTTTATTGTGAAAGGGCTAGTCCTTCATTAGAAGTAATAGATTGTGAAATTGAACGAATTTTAAAAGTGCCTGAAAATGTTCTCTTACCGGGAGATGAATGTCAGGTCGAACAAATGACAGACGCAAATTATGCACAATTAAAAGACGAAGTTGCATTGCTTAGAAAACGTGTAGAAAGAGGAGCATTAATGGAAGCTTTATTAACTGCAGAAGAAGAGGAATTATGTACTGTGGAAAAGGTTTGTGAATCAGCAAAAAAAGACATGGAAGCATTGGATCTTGTATTTAAAAATGCGGATAATAGTGAGTCGTTGAAACAAATTCAAAATGAAACACGATTTCTGTGTGCAAGTACATCATTTATGAAAGAAAACGATAATAATATTTTTAAATGATATAAAGTGTTAATAAAGCATGCTGTCATTAACTTGTGTGGCTATGTTGTCAAGGTTTGCTTGAACTTTGCTATTCCACAACTTCATCCTTTTTGATGAAGAAAAGACTAATGCAAGATCTAAAAAATATTTGTTTTGACCAAATTTTACCAATTTATTATACTATGTGGAGAAATATAAGAACACAGAATTTTTTGTGGTTATTGTCAGTAAATGTTATGTTTAAAGTAGGTATGGATATTCTTACGTACGGATAATATTGAGCTGATTTATACTACATATGTATAGTAGGTATATATTATAGAAAATATGTTAAAATAAAATAGCACACAACAGTCAGGTTTATTTAATTGTAAAAACAAAAATTACGTAAAATTAATAATTACAATTTGAGTATTATAGACTAAAAATACTTTTTAAGCTGTTATAATAATATAATTCAGATATAGACTACTGAAAAATATAATAATAATTTTTACAATAATTCAATGAAATAATCTTGCACACAACATTAAAATTTAATTAAACATTAATATAATTTAATAAACAAAATTTTATACAACACGTCTATGACACAGCTTGTTTTCACTAAAACTTTTTATAGAAGTTACTGGTTAAAATTATAACAATATTATCTTTTATATTGTTTTTCTTTTTATCACATAGAAATGAAGCAATGGAATATCTTTTTGCGGAGATAGTTTATGGGCTACAGTGTTGGACTGTTTTATTGTTATTATAACAAATTTAACAGATATAACTACACCAGGTTTACTTATGATATATCATTAAATAGCATTTATAACAAACGGTGTACTTTCTAAGCACCTTGTTTATTTTCATCTTTTATATTACTTATTTGAATTTTTAAATATAATCTTATATATAATGAGAATGAGAACATTTTTTATTGTCAACAATAGCAGATTAGGTTATAATGAGCTGCCACTGCTGCCTATGGGCATAGGCAATCACACAAATAGCATTTGATTGATTGCCTACCATGCTGACTATGAGGATTGAAAATGACAGCTCGTAGGTGATTCAATACTTCTATAAGTCTGCTATCTCACAAGTTCACAACAGGTGATCGAGTGTGAATTCCTTACTCTGAGCAGTGATTTACCATGAGGAAGCAGATTCATGTTCTAGCTAGCCCTCGTAAATGTTTTGGAGCCTATTCCACTCCATGGTTCTAATACGTAAGATGATGTTTTATAGTAAATAAAAAACCGGGCCCAAAAAACAATACGACAAACCATTTTGTTCTTTTAAGTCAATTGAAAATGAATGCAACCACACTTCAAAACACACAATAATGTTAATAGTTTAAGACATATAACAAAATTATTAGTTTTACTAATAAATATGATACATATTTAATATTGCTAATACAGATTACTTTACAAACACATTATGCATTGATTAACAAAGAAAAATTGAGATATTATATACAATGCTTTAGAATTGCTGCTTTATATTTTTTTTCTTATATTTACATCCTTGTCTGCTAATTAATTAGTTTATAATTTATGATTTAGGTGAATATTATATTTTCCTAGTTAATTAAGACTCAATTTGTATTTCATTAATAAAGTCCTTAAAAATATTCCAAATGACTTTGTTAATTACACTCCAAATAAATTTTATCAATACATTAAATATTTTTAACCTTATTGTCTGTTCTAATAAAGTACACTAGCCATTCCCCATATTAAATAGATTAATATAGCAAAAATAATAACTATTTTTCTTATTTTTTTCTATTTAACTAAACATTCATAATATTAAATATAGGTAATCAAATTGCTTAAGAATTCATATATTTTCCAATTACAAATTCATTAGAGTAATTTAAAACATAATTTAAAAGAAAATCAATAATACTGACAAATTTTTTAAAAGTAAAAATGCAACATACCTAAGAAAAGGGTAAATAGACTATTTTTTCTCATTTCATGTGTATGATCTATTAGAAATTTAAAGTTTCCGATAACATTTAAGATTTGAAGTCGTGGTCTAAAGGATAAGACGTCCGGTGCATTCGTGTTGAGCGATGCATCGGTGTTCGAATCTCAGGCGGACACCAATTTTTCTAAGGAAATACGAACTCAACAAATGTTCACGATTGACTTCCACGGTGAAGAAATAACATCTTGTAATAAAAATCAAACACGTAAAATTATAATTTGCGTAATTACTGGTGGTATTGTGAGTCCGCGCGGGTAGGTACCACCACACTGCCTATTTCTGCCGTGAAGCAGTAATGCGTTTCGGTTTGAGGCAGCCGTTGTACTGTGAAAACTAAGACCTTAGAACTCACATCTCAAGGTGGGTGGCGCATTTACGTTGTAGATGTCTATGGGCTCCAATAACCACTTAACAACAGGTGGGCTGGGAGCTCGTCCACCCATCTAAGCAATAAAAAAAAGCACGTAACAAACCATTTTATATTGTGACTCAACTGACAAAAACCAGAACAAAATTACAACCCACACTGATGGTCCTATAGGATAAATTAACTTTTCTAGTTTTGATGCACTGCATCAAATATACCTATTGATTAATAATAATATCATAATTAAGCATACTGGTTATATTTACTGACAACTACTGAACACTTACTTAATTAATCTTTGATTTTGTGACTAGCAGAAAATTTAAATAATGATTGGCTATAGTACAAAATACAATATTAACAACAAGATTAGTACGTTGAAGACGATATGTATATTCAATTAACATAATTAGCGTAAATTACACTGTTTAATAGTTATACAGGTTTTTTTTACAAGCAAAATATTCGCCAATAAAAAGAAAGCGCAGGCGAGATCGGCATTACAACAATCAAAGTTTTTACACGCAAAATAATTTCACTCAATGATTTGAAGAAATGAGGTGACTTATTTTTGTAGACGGCAATACGACGATAATTGTTATTTTAATTTAACATTATTTTAATTATTCAATAACACTGACCTTTTTTTGATATGGTTTACAAAATTATCCTGATATTTAATTGTTTATGTACGTTTGTTTTGTCTAATCTATTTATTATTAATTTTGTATGCTTTACATGGTTTTTCTTTCATTAAGAATATACTATATGTTTATTGGAAAGATACATGTGAGCTAGGCTCGTCTTTGTACATGACATATTATATCTTTTAGTTAGTTATTCCGTTTGCTTAAAGTTTATATCAAATGATTATCAATCGGTAGCCGTATGTTGTAGACGTGATTCGAAATCGGATTCGTCGAATGGCTGGCCCAATAATTCCGCAAATTTCTGGCATGGAAAATGGAGCCAAGTGTACCGATGCTTAAAACAAAAGTGAATTTACGTACTTACAGGCACCACTATTCGGGCTGGTATTTTACAGTGAGTGAATCCCTCATTTCGTGATGTTCGTGCGTGTGTTCATGTTGCGGCGGTGGAGTGTTGCGTATTCAAACAAACGCGGGCGGACGGCAGTCGAGTGCAGTGAGCACGTTGTGCGCCGCGGGCCCGGGCCACAGCCAGCCGCTCTCGCTCAGCGCCACACGTCACACCGGCCCCGGGTATTCTGTACTGTCCTGGAAATAACAAGAAACTAATTGGCCTAAAGGTCTAGATAACAGGCCACAAATTAAAAAAAAAAAACAAGAAACTAACAGACTTTTTGGCGGGAACGCCAAGTCAAGTGAAGTTGTGTGATTTGTTTTATTTTGTCTATTTAGTGTTTGTTCAGGTTTAAATGTGTAATAACGGTGGTTTATTAACTGTTTAGTATCTGTGAGAGTGCGCAAATGTGGGAAAATCAAGCAAAGCCGCTGAACGTAACTTCGAGGGATCCTCCAAAAAGTCCAGTGAAAAAGTGTCAGTAAATGCATCTGGACTGCATGATGAATGATAGGCCTGAATGGAAAAAGACGACATGCTGCGCTGATCCTAGATAGTGGAATAAGGGTAAGGAGAAGAGAATGTCTGATGTTGACCACACACCTGAGAAACGGTCTTTGGGTGCATGGGGCTCTGCGGCGCTTGGGTATTGGACGTGAAGTAGCCGCCGGGCCGCGGTCTCAGATGCCGATTGTTCTTCTCCATTTGTACTATTTTCATGTATTCAATTTGGGCTGCCAGTTTCTGTACTTCCTCCTGAAAATAATTAAAGTATTGTGTTAAATCTATATCCCGTATTTGTCGAACATGTGAGCACGTGTTCAGTGAGCATAGTACGAGGTTTTTTAACTTCTCGATCGCGTAAGAGTTAACTCAAATTTGTATGGAGTTAGTAGCGGCAAAAATAGGGGCGCTGTTCCAACTCCATACAAATTTGAAGTTAAAAAACTCGCATTAAGCACACTGGTTTGAAAGGTAATGTAGTCGTTGTTTATACACATTTGCTACAGTAATCAACTTGGATTTTATTTTGAATAGTTAGTTGATATAAAAGTAAACTAAAATCAAGGTATTTCTAACATGCTTTTATTAGCTTGTACGTAACGGTATCTCTGAATCTCATTTTCACGAAATTCAATAATTTCAATTATCTTGAAAATTTACACACGCATCAAGGACCGAGGGCAATACAAATTTATATTTAATACCACCACCACCGCCACCCACCTTGAGATATAAGTTCTAAGGTTTCAGTATAGTTACAACGGCTGCCGAGCCCTTCAAATCGAAACGCGTTACTGCTTCACGGCAGAAATAGGCAGGGTGGTGGTACCTACCCGCGTGGACTCGCAAGAGGTCCTACCACCAGTATCAACAGGGTAGGAGAAGAGGTGGAATCAATTGTTTTTTCGATTAGCTAGATATTGTTAGTGGAAAGGCCCGCACGAACATCCATGCCTCAAAGAATAAACATCAGTTTCTCACCTTAAGTTCTTCATTCTCCTGGTACAAATCCGGGGGTTCGTCTGGCACCAGCCCGATGCCATTTAGCGATGAGGAAGCCGGAGCACCTCGGGCGCGAGCCCTGCTATCCCACGTATCCCCCGTACCACGAACTACGCGTAAAACCTGTATATACATATTTATGTTATCGTCAGTTATTTGGTCTTGAAAACTGCTTTGCAGTTTGCACATCATACAGAAGATAGCGGCTTGGCTGCGTCATAGCGACCTCATGTCCGTGAGTGAGTGTGACCGCTCATCATCAAGTATGGAATAGTGGGCCATATTATTATTTTATTGCTTAGATGGGTGGACGAGCTCACTGCTCACCTGGTGTTAAGTGGTTACTGGAGCCCAAAGACATCTACGACGTAAATGCGTCACCCACCTTGAGATATCAGTTCTAAGGTCTCAGTATAGTTACAACGGCTGCCCCGCCCTTCAAACCGAAACGCATTACTGCTATCTACGACTCAATCTTCGTTTAAAAAAAAATATTAAAAGAAAACGTGGCGATGATAATAAATAACATATTTTTAATGCCCCTAAACCAATTCTATGAAATCAATGCACTCACTTTTGGTAGAAATACGAGCAAAACCGTAGTCGAAGTCGACAGTTGCGTTCTTATGAATCCCAGCAAATATTTTATGTCAGGACCGGCTTGTGGTAATATCAGCAAACTACAAAAAAAATTATTGAAACGATTTTCGGTGCGACAGTTCGTTAACTCTTACTAAAAGCTACTTAAAAGTATCATTAATTCTTTACTAAACTATCAGTTCCGAAGATTGATAAAATAAATACTTATATTGCAGGCACACTTGTTAATCAATAGAAAAAAAGGTGTACCAAATAAAAAAAATTAATGACAACAATGAATTAAACTTACTGGAAGGCAATCATCAAGGAATTTACAGTGAATATGTTGTAGATTGCAAAGGAGATTAGCTTAGCTTCATTGTACAAGCTCTCCGCGTGACGTACACGGTAACAAACACGAACACCCCATAGCAGGAAAAGGATTTCACCTGTAATTATTAACAACGTTCATGCGGGTCCTGTGTGACCGGTGAGAGTTTTTTAACGTTCTCGATAGTGTAGAAGTTAACTCAAATTTGTATGCAGTTGGAACAGCGCCCCTAGCGGCAAACGTAGGCAAACGTTCTAACTGCATACAAATTTGATGTAACTTTTACGTTATCGAGAACGTTAAAAAACTCGCACTAAGCTCACTGAACACGTGCTCACATGTTCGACGAACACGGGATATAGATTTAACACAATACTTTAATTACTTTCAGGAGGAAGTACAGAAACTGGCAGCCCAAATTGCACGTAGATATTATTTGAAATGATTCTGTCAGTTTAATTTTAATGGTGCAGACATAAGCCCTAATCACCTGTAATAGCTTTGTTGATCTAAGTGATAAGAATCTACAATTCCTTCTTGGGTCATCTCAATCATTTGAAAATAGTGCTTAGAGGTAAGCAGTGCCCTTAGAATTTTTGATGTCCACGAGCGACAATACCGACTCAGTTTATGAATTTTTCGGCATTGGCAGCGACTGGTTGACATTGACATTGGTAGTAAAACTAAATGTTACCATGAATACCTCTAGTACATATAAGTTTTAATATTAAGTACATATGTACATTCTTACCTATAGCTAAACTATGATCCCACCAATTATATACACACTGCTTGAATTTCAATCCTTTATTGTCCATTATCTAAAAAATAAATAACTCTTAAAACACTAAGACAATTAGTATAGTGTTATTGATATATGATATTTGATAAACCGCAATCGAAAATAAGTAACTTTTTGGTAAATTTGTTTTTTTTTTCTATACTTCTCGTAATTACATTAACAGGACTGCCTTTGCATTAAATTGATAGTTCAAATGTTTAGTTTTTTTTGCATTTGATCAGTAGTGAACATTTGTGGGGTGGGTCTATATTTTTTCCCTCAGTTCAAAGTTCAGGAGGATTTCCAATTTCCTTATCGAATTTAGGTACAGTTAGATATTGCTTCTGGGATTTGAATAACTTAGTTGAAGTTATACTGGGTGTTTTTAGGCCCCAAACAATATTAAAAATAAACATTGTATATATAGTAAATCTTAATATCAGCTTAAAAATAAATCCTCCACTCCATTCCGTTTATATTTAAATTATTTACTATTGTTTGTACTTTGCATCTAGTGGCCTTACACAACATATTGTATTTGATTTTTATGGCATGGAAACAGCAAATTACATTAACTTACGACTTCGGCATCAGGCGGTGAAGACAATGTCCATGTACAAAGGTATACCAACATGATAAGTAATATAGGAGCCATCCATTGCAATAATTGTTTATCCGTTAATTTCAACTTGTGTGCTGATTTCACCCGATATGTGAGGGATACTCTGCAAAGATATTTTGACATTGGCATATATTCAAATAATTACATTTTATTTTTAAAATTTATAGTTTTTTTTTTATTGCTTATATGGGTGGACGAGCTCACAGCCCACCTGGTGTTAGGTGGTTACTGGAGCCCATAGACATCTACAACGTAGACGCGCCATCCACCTTGAGATACAAGTTCTAAAGTCTCAGTATAGTTACAACAGGTGCCCCACCCTTCAAACCGAAACGCATTACTGCTTCACGGCAGAAATAGGCAGGGCGGTGGTACCTACCCGCGAGGACTCACAAGTGGTCCTACCACCAGTGTTCTTAGTAAGCAGCTACATGATAGTCATAATATTTATAACTACTCATATAGCATTAGGTGATCAGTGTGCTTATTTTTAAAGATTGATTGATTTTTTCAAATATTGTTTGTTTTTCACGATATCTTCGTAATATTGAAATATATTTTGTTATTGAAAGATGAACTGATACTTTTATTGGGCAGTGTGGGATATGTAAGGTAATATTCTAGTAGGTATATAATGCACTTAAATATAATAGGATGAATCTAGAACATTTTTGATTATTTAACTAAGTCCACAATTGAAATAAATTAATAAAATAAAAATAAAAATTTTTGGAACATTTTTTTTATCAAATCAATTGTATTACATAATTTGCAGGAAATTGCAAATACAAAAATATTATTTTTGAAAATGTGTTTCAATAAATTGATTTCACATAATGAATACCTCCAAGTCTTCATGAGAAGTGCTGTGTATGTAATACAAAATCCCATGTGTCGAGTCCATTTTGTTGCAATACAGGAGTACCTATCAAGAACTGGGAAAATAGCAGCCATCTATAAAAAGAGCACACACTGTATAAATATAAAAATGACACTTTTTATTATTAATCTTGACAAGAGTATAGAAACATTATTCCTTATTCATTATTGTTTTCATTTCTCATTTTCGTTATTTTATTCATTTCTCAGAAACTTATCATAATTTTTAATTACTGGAGGCTACATATAAGTATGGATCTCTTAGCTTTACTACATAACTTATATTCCAAGAACTTCTTATATTATAATTTAATCATTTATGATGTATTTCAATTTCAGATATTACCTCCATGTACATAATGGCACATCCAAGAAGAGTAATTGAGAGAAAAACAGGACTGGCTACTCGGAACACTTTTACTCGGCGATGGTGACGTGTGTATATTGTAAGACATACAGTCATCACTACACAGCTCATTGATATTACTAGCAAAGATATCCTGAAACATAATAAAATCAATTTGTTGAAAAGGTTACTGGTATCAAGGGCATCACCCAATAGGGTTACACCACCAATCACAGATCACAATCATGGAGTTCAACAAAGAAGAAATCATACATTACTTTTTGATAGGAAAGCTGTTAATCCAATGCAATTGAGATTTTCAACTAGTCTATGAATCCATTGGAGTCCCATTAGCCCATATATGTCAGTTAATAATACAAAAATAACTACAAGATTAATAATAAAATTTTTGAAATGTAATAATAGTAGCCTCTACCATTAATTATAATTGAATACTTAATTATAATTTGAATACTAACAGAGAACCCTTTTCAAACATGAAAGTTATTGGTGATTTTTCACTATCTATATATAATATCTCGACTTTATATTATTTTTACATAGGTTTAACATCTTGTGAATAAAATTGATTTTTAAACCGTTATATCTTGGTTTTCTAAACATTCATTTTTTGAGTGTGAAAAGGATAGTCGACTTACCGAAATGGCCAGTTGTAGGTGGCAAGGCATGGTTCGGGGCCTCGGCATGTAATACATCCTGGTTGACATTTCAGGCATTCGTATGGTGCACTCCAGTTCTCTAATCCGTTCTCTTCGTATTCTTGGTAAGCGACTGAGTATAAAAAAAATATGTTTTGTTAGTTTGAAACGATTGGATATAATATAAATTTATCAACTGGACGTTAGACTACCTATAGTAAAACTAAAACATATATGGATGTAATTAAACGTTCACGTAACTAAGCTGCATTAGGAAGATCTATACAAAGTTAATGATATTTTCGTAAGAATCGTAAGGACTTGCATGTTTTTGTTTACACTTTTTGTTTCGTTTATTGGATAGGTAATGAGATCAAAACTCATACAGCCAAATTTTTGTGACAAAAGCCTGAAGCTATGTCTTTCCTATGAAAAATGCCATCTTTTATTATCATTATTTACTCTTATATATCTTTGGTTGACTGATAGAGAATGCCTTAGGCATTAAGTCCGCAGATGTCGATATAAGTCGAATACAAGAAGTGTAATAAAAAAAGTGAAATGGAATCATGTTCATAATGTATCATGTTATTAAAATGAAATTAATGGAATGAAATAAAATCGAATCTTGTCAGACGAGATGTGTCAAAATGCTTTCGGGATTATATGCAAGCACCCTGATTATCAAATTGTCAAATACCTTCAATGACAGATCCATTGTACCCTTCGGGATGATGAATTGAATAGAAGCCAGGTCTGCATCTACAAACATATGATCCTCTCGCCCAACCAGTGTGACGAACGTTCATTTCACGACTCTGTTTGTATTCGCACTAGTAGAACAAAGATTCATGATAAATAAGTTAAAAAAATACTAGATAGGTATATATGTAGTTGTTGATAGTTTCGCTCACTATTTATATAAGAATACTTTTTATTTAAATAACGATATAGGTACCCGATACACCGTTAACTATCAAGAATTGTAGTTATCCATCATATAGCAAATGCTTAATGAAATATTAAAAAAAGTTTAAAAGTAAAAGGGTCTGGGTGGCACTTCTGTCGTCCATGACATTTTAAAATCATGTCGTTTTGTCTTGGGATTTGATGAATGAGCGATATTGTTAGATTTGTTAGTCCATTTGAGATAGTTTAAAATAATGGTAGGTAATATAATTGTAGGTTTTAAAAGTAGTTCATTACTTACGTATGTAGTTTCATTGGGACATTTATGAGTTCCGTGAAAGGAATATATTTGGTTATCATTTTCATCAAATATATCTGTCTCGCACTGGTTTATTTCCAAATTGGATATGTCTATGTCCAGTGAAACAATACCTTTTAACCTTAAACAAATAAAAACAAAATATGCCAATAATTTCATTAAAACATCTTTACATAAAATGTCAGTTATAATTTAAATGAATTTACATCCGCACTTTGCCTATTTGTGATGTCTAAGGAACCGGAAACCACATTACACCAAGAGTACCGTGACCACGGCTATATTTCAGACTAATTATCGTTTGTAAGTGTCTTTAGAACGGTACAAGAAAAGTGGAGTGTAGGGAAATGAATGTGGAATGAGAACCCATTCTTAGACGGATATTCAGCGCGCAATCTTTACGTTGCTATAGGTTTCCTTTTAGGAGAGTTGCCGAATTTTCAACGACCGCATCTGCAGCTGGATAAGGGATAAGGGTCCACCCTGGGCACCATACCTAGGGATATCGCACAGTTTCTCTCATCGTTTTCATAGCAAAGGGACCGAGCGACGTAGACCAATATTAGCCACTATTCGAAGGGAAGGTCCGCGAAGGCAGGAGAAGGAGAGTTCAGAAGCCGAGAAGGGTCCGTGAAGGACAGCAGAAATGATGCGGGTAACCTAATGCCGGATGACAGCATAGTCACTGTTGGTTCTTCTTGTTCGTCACGGACGTGCAGACTACGCAAGTGGGTCAAAGAATAGAGGACCAATGCATCGAGCAGTTCGGACTCGGAAGGCTTTGCGGTGTAATCCAGGAAATACTACTTTACCAGGAAGACTACCTTAACGCCTAAACTACCTTAAAGCGTAGAAAAAGGAGTTTGTGGAGAGTGCTCGCAGCTGCGGGATAAAAGAACGACGTCTAAAAATACACAAAAAAACACATCAACAGACTTCGCCCGTAGATACGACGAAAGCACCAAAATGGCACTCAGGATAGCCGCTAAATCCAGCAAAGTTAAGGGCACTTACCAGCGTGCCCTTAAAGAAATGCCGGCTATTATTCATGAGGCGACTGAAGAGCTGGCGACCAGAATTATCATCGACGAAAACCTGAGACTGCAGGCTCTCAGTGAGAGGCAGGAGGCCGAGATCCTGCAGCTCAGAAAGGAACTTGGAAAAGTGCGAGCGGAAATGTCACAATTGAAGTGTTCGTGTCGACAAGTGTCGTCCGCTATCATCCCGTCCCGCCACTACTGAATGGAGAGGAAGCGGAGCGATGCTTGTAGCTAATCATGCGGGAAGTGGTCTCCATGCTGGACGCCTGACTCGCAGGTCTGGAGCCCTCGTCTGCCCTTGCTTTTTTTTTCCTACATATGATGATAGCCTTAAGAGGCTATTTCAACGTAACCTTAACTAGTAGGTGAGCTCACGGGGCTCAAACCTGACGACGTTGCTAACACGAACCCTAGCAAGAGCCGTGTTTCGTATTTACCACCGGAGCCCTTGCTTGAGACCACCACCCGTTTCTTCACAACTTTCCGATCTACTTTCCGATCGCGAACTGGAGACTTTCTCAAATAAACAAGATCAACTTAAAATTTTTGTTGAAAGTATACTTGGACTACTAAAATTACTTTGTTCTAATCTAAGTTTGTCTGAAACTAAGAAAATAACTAAGATAATGGGAACGGGTTCAACGGACTTCAATGATTAACAACTATGGATTAAGACATTTTTAGTCAAAAGTCATCATAACACATCCTACATGCTAAATCTCAGTTTGAGGTTTAATATTTCGGTTCTCAGTACGACACGGTCTATAAAATAAATATAGTTTCTCAACTTCATCTATGCTTAGTTCAACAGTTGCCATATTAAGTGGTAATATTTTTCGACTAAAATGTCTGTGAAATGCGAACTATAAGAAGTTATGAGGGTTTAGGTTTTCGCCAAAAATGTCTACCTAATAATCCTAAAATTTTATTTGAGACCCGAATATAAATACGTATGTACCTATATTATATGAGTTGTGTATTGTCGATTGCGACAAGATTTATGTACAATTTATTGCAACATAATTGTTCTTTTGATACTGTCGATTGAATTCACATTAGAAAGAGTGTACCTTTAAAAATCCAATATTAAAGAACGGTTTCTGCGATTATTTTTAAATCGAATATACCTAGTCCTGCCTATATTATAACAAGGAAAACATCTTTTTTTTGCCATGATACACAGGATAGGTATTAATGGAAACTTTTAATGCATTTTTTATTAATTCAAGAAATCCGATTGACTTGAAAATTTGCACTGTTATCATAATCGATGACAGTGAAATACATAGTTTTATTCTTTTGGCAAAATATTCAAAGGCAAAAAGCTTAAAAACAATTAGTCGACTTAAGGTATTGGCACAAAGGCATCAATTGTAAATGAAACCGATAAACATTTTTCACTGTTTATGTAATATATTTTTAACTTTCTCGGTATAATAATCTATTATTATGCAATAGAAATAAAATAAAAATTTGAAGTCAGAATTATTTAAGTACGATTTTTTTTTCAAAAATCGTATATGGTTTTGTATATATTTTTTATACTAAGGACATTAACTTGTAATTTAATTGTTTAGATTCATAGTTTTAAACATTATCCTAAAAATTATCGCTACGATATTTATGATACCTCATTAGAACGAATTTCAGTTTGCAAATTAGAAATCATGGACATCCAACTATAAGCGTCTGATATGAATTGAATAATAAATACAAATCCAAACCGCTAAGGGCACAACTGAAATTATTGTTCTGATAATAGCAGATGTTACCGGCACTTAATTTAATTAGATGTTCGAAACACAAAGTGCTTTCTCAACCAGCGATGTAACGCTTCCGGCATCGTAAATATGTTTTCGCGGATTTCAAACAAACTCTAGGTGTTTGATGTGTGTGAATTTTATTACATAAGAGTGATGCGAGTTTGATTATCATGCCAAACGCAGTTGGTCTGTAGTTGCTGAAACAAGTCATTAACTAATTTCTTTTAAAATATAACAATGTGGCAGACGATGGGGCATAAAAGTTTTTTTTTTTTTTTGCTTATATGGTAAAAGTATTGGAGTGGAGACCTGGTACTGGATATGGTGACCTGGGCAGACAACCAATGAGGTGGACCGACGACCTGATCAAAATAGCTGGTAGGGACTGGATGCGAAAGACAAGAGACCGAAGGAAATGGTGTGCAGGAGAGACTTACACTCAGCATTGGGTGGAAACGGGCTGAAGAAGAGAAATGATACAGTTACAATTCATAGCAGTTATGCTTAATATTGCCTACTTTTTTGTACTATCGCGCAATTTTATCAAATATATATTTATTTTACAAAATGAAAAAAATAATAATGCCGCAGCAAGTTAGACAGACAACTCTTAGTTTTTTTAATTGTCTTAATTACGTGTGACTATTTCGATATCAAAATTTGCGATGAGTTAATCACAAAATTATGATGATTTCAATTAGAACTAAAATCAGGTATTTTAATTATTTTTATTATTATATTTAATTATATATTATTATTATATATTATTATATATATTATTATAATTATTTAGGTATTATAATTAATATGTAGTCCTTACAGTTATTTTACACAGCTGAAAACAGGAGTCTATGGAGGCAGGTGGGGGGGGGGGGTGTATGTTTATAATAGACAAACAGACAAAAATGTTAGTAATTTAACTAATTCAAAAATTAATTTATGAAGAAAAATGTTGCAATTAAATTAATATTAATATAATAGCCGGCAAACTTCTTGAGCATTTGTTGACGTAGTGGGGGTAAGTTTGCGCATGGTACACTCACGTGCAAAAACATTATTTACTCTTCGTCATAATGCAATTAAATTATTAAAATCAACATATGTATTTTTTTATATATTTATTAGAACATCAACAAAAAATGTAGGTTAATAATTGTAATAATTTAATCTTGGGGTAAAATAGATATTCCTTCTATTAAGTCAAAACTAGAGCTGTTGCCAGGTCTTGGTTCAGTTGAAGCGAAGCTGGTATTTGTATATTTTTTTTTCGTTATCATAATCTTGACCATCATCATCATCACTGTTTTCATCACCCGAGTCGCTATCATCGTGATTAGTCGACATAGGGCTCATCGGTGTAGTTTACAACTCGGTCGATTCGGTCTTCTTTTTTGCCTTTAATTAATTATTTTTTGAAGATATTCGATTCGTAGTAATCGAATGTTACTTTTTTCAATTACCAGCTTCCGATTATTTTCTGTTCTTTTTTTCCATCTAAAGCCTAGCTCTTTCATAATACGTCGTAAGCTTCATTCCGAGCCATTAAAATTTATATCTTCTTTAAAATTTTCGAAGCCTTTCTACGGTACGGAGTTTCGCTGCTTGTTATGTAGTTATTATGATTACATCTTTTTATTACAGATTGAACGAAACTATCCATTCCGGTAACTTTCTTCTTCCCTGATCTTTTCTTACCCGGAGTCCGAAACACGGCGAGCAAGCCAGAGCCTTTAGCTTCGTTAATAATGCACCTAACAGTACTCACTGATGTTTTTGTTGCTTCCGAAGTCTGTTTTAATTTTTCCATATCATTCTTCCCCTGTTTTATAATGAAGCAATATACGTCGTACACAATTTTTCTACCCTTTCTTTTGAATACTACACCGGTTTGTCGCGGCATAGTGTATGTTTTATAAAAAATCAACAAACACTCAACAAATAGCAATGGCAACAAAGTCCACAAGTAATTATAACAAATAAATTAACGATTAATAACGATAGACTTTAATAATATAATAACTTTCCACTGTACGCAAGCGTACTTTTGGGAGCAAGCGGAATGAGGGCGCGGTGCGGGACGTAAGGTTCGACTGATCTACCAATAAAGCGCTCGATACGATTTTCCCTGCCGTCGCGCCTCACCCTCACCACCAAAGTGATCTAAAATTCGGCTCTGCGCAGTCAAGGTCATTTGCTCAAGATGTTTGCCGGTTACTATACCACTGTTTTAAACGTACAATATAAACATTAAACAATTAATCAAATAAAATATTAATTGTGCATGTAAAATTTAAGTACTTTGTCTGAACAAGGCTTTATAAAAAAAAAATCGATTTTATATAATTGATATTTATTGCTGTCTGGTTGTTCATTGAACGTCTGGGTGCAATGACTCACCCTCGTATAGTGGAGACGGGTACGGTATAAGATAAGAGCCACCGTTTCGCCCCGCAACTGTAGTATGGATAAGTCCACCATCCTTCCATTGTGGCACCGGGAGAAGAAGGCATGAACTTTGGCGAGCGAAGAGATTCGCTCTCGTGTGCTGAGACATACCTGGTAATGCGCCAATTTTTCAGTTAATTATATCATCAATTATCACTATTATATCACTTTTAGTTATATCACTATCACTATTATAGAGGATCGCATTATGTGGAAGGCATTGGGGAAGGCCTATGTCCAGCAGTGGGCAGATAAAGGCCGATGATGATGATGATGATGATGACTATTATATCAATTTCAGTTAATTATATGCGATTACGATGTACCTAATAAATGTTATGCGTTAAAGTACTTCCTTTGGTTTTTGATAGTCGTAACTAAAACTAATTTACGGTTTAATTTTGCGGTTTTAACTGTCGTTATGTTTAGCGTTAATATTGTTAAAATAACGAGGCTTCTCTATCAAATCTACTACTGTATGGAAACTCTATGGGACTTTGGAAGTGGATCAGCCTTGTTGATGGTCGAAGCATAAAAGTCGTTTCCGACGTCTATCAGCATAACAATGCTAATTGCTCTACTGACATTTAGCAAGTATATTTTCTTCCCCGCTTTCTTCTTCTGCGTATTGCCAAATGGAATAATGTCTATGTGACGAGGTGGAAGCCTTGTAGCCTAGGCTGAGAATTCGCACAGGAAAGATTACAGATTCTGCAATTCAACATAGATATACCTATCTTTTTTTTTATTGCCCTTGTACGCAGACGAGCATACGGCCCACCTGATGGTGAGTGGTTACCGACGCCCATGGACTTCAGCAATGCCAGGGGCAGAGCCAAGCCGCGGCCTACCGAGTCAAGCCGCTGCCTACCGAGCCAAGCCGCTGCCTACCGAGCCAAGCCGCTGCCTACCGCAATCAAGCCGCTGCCTACCGAGCCAAGCCGCTGCCTACTTACTGGTTCTTTACAGAATCTGGTCTTTACTACACGTTATCAGACCTTTAAAGATTAGAGCCAAAAGTCTAGTGAGATTCGGATTGTAAAAGAAACTGCCGAATCAATGTCAAGAAAAGCAAGAAGATAGATTCTTCTTCACATTAGAATAATATTAAATTATTTACGTCTTATTTAATCGACAATTACCATGGATATTCAGGGTCCGGAGGCTTCTCCAACTGCGGTGAAACAACTGCAACAGGCTCAGCGGTTCCATATCTTTCCCAAGCGACCGCACTGTTGACAACACCATCGCTTCTCAGAGCTAATGCTCTCGATCCAACAGCACGTTCGGTCGGGCTAGCTCCCAAAACTAAGCCTTTTGAAACCGCCATGAGTACTTCTAAAAAAAAAAACATTTTTTTGAAAGTCAAAGTCAAATTTTAGTTATTTTTAGCCTTAATATTTATTTATTTATTGCTTAGATGATTGAACGAGTTCACAGCCAACCTGATGTTAAGTGGTTACTGGAGTCCATAGACATCTACAATGTAAATGCGCCACCCACCTTGAGATATAAAGTCTAAGTTCTCAGTATAGTTACAACGGCTACCCCGCTCATCAAACCGAAACGCATTACTGCTTCACGGCAGAAATAGGCGGGGTGGTGGTACCTACCCGTGCGGACTCACAAGAGGTCCTACCATCACTAATGAATTATCAGTGTACTTTATCATTAATTCTGATTATTTATAAATTACAGGGTACAGTGTAACTTTAATAAATTTTCAAGTCTCGCCACAATGCCCGGTTTCCTGCGCTGCCTGCATCCAGATGATTCCCACGATCTTCAGTGGTGGAATTTTAATTATTTTTTTATTAATACAATTAAGTCATTTTACTTTTAACCGGAATTAAAGGTAAAACAAAAGAAAAAAAATAATTAATTTAAAATTAGTTTAAGTACACAGTCATACAAAGTACACCGCGACTTTAATAGCAAGAAGGGCAAACTGATTAATAATGAAAAGTTTTGCCAGAAAAAAAAAGCCCTACAACTTATAATTGAATTATTAAAAATGTAATAGTGCGAACGCTGTCTTACTTATCTAACGAATGGTTCTCCAACAAACATTTATGAGAATATCAACCACAACAAAGGCTAAAATATACTAATTAACCAAGTTGTTAATCCGAAAGAAAATTTTTACAGAGTCTTGGGTTCTGTTTTTTAATATAATGTTAAAAGATGTTGATGCACGTTTTCACGTAAAAGTTTAAATAAAGCTGTAGGTTGAAACGGAGAAGTTAGATTAGGTAAGAAACGAATGAAAGTCGGCTTAAAGTATTTCATATGATAGCTGTACCATATGATTCATTTTAACCATATGAATCATATATTCATCTATTTCATCAGGTTTTCGCAATATTATGTACATACTGTGTATACATTTTTAAACGAAAAAGAATTTTATTCAATACACAGCAAACAACAATCCCCCATAAAATATTATAAAAACTCTTTAAATTTAACACGTTAGAATGGCAAATGAAAGATGTGTGAATCGAATTGGAGGTTTACAATCGAACTTTGTTTTTTGGAAAATTTATTTATAATATTAAATTAAAAGATACGAGTACCTATGCTATCCTATCCCGGGTTGTTTTTACAAAATACTATATATCTGCCATAACGATATGTGGATTTTTTGAGCCCATTATTTTTTCGAGGGGGGCCTGAATCTCCTAAAAAGTCTTTAGCGACGGTACAGCGCATTAACATGTGTCTTGGTGATTCCTGGTCTGCTCTTTTCGGGATGATTAGGTGCCTTACGGAAAGAGTAGTGTTTCGTATAGGTTTTTTTTTTATTTATTATTTTAAAAGTACACTAATGTGGGAAAACGGAACAAAACCGCTGGACGTCATAAATTAATTTCCAAGTAAATTTTATGAAGACATTTTTAATTTTATCTCGTCTCATTTTAATGTACTTCACTTTATTCAATTTCGTCCTAGAATAAATTTCATATAAATAAGCTTCATTTCTTTCGACTCAAAAGCTAAGTATGTAATAATAATGAAGATTCGCTGAGTTTTTTCTAAAGAACTACGATCTAGGTCAATAAATAATTATGTAAAACAGAGTTTCAACTTTCGCATCTTATCAAATCATTTTGAGTGAAGATTTTATCAAGCGTTCGATGTGCGATGTTCGATATTAGGTTTACCTACGAAATTGCCGTTTAGTACACAGAACGTTAAAGTAATTTTTTAGAAACATTTTTTATTTCTATTAATAAAAATATGCACCCATGGTATCGATACATTTCTGCCAGTACAATGGTAGCTTTTCAATGCTCTTCTTAAATAAGTCAAGTGTACCGGAGCCTACAATTATTTAAAGGTATTTTGTTCTGCCTCTCGGATATTACCCTGCCAAGAAGTTATCCAAACTTTGGAAAAAGAAGAAGTCTGTCGGCACACGGTCTGGCAAGTACTACGGTGGATTAAGCAATACTTCCAAGCCAAAAACGATCATGTTAACCAACACGATGATCGCATTCAAATGCGGCGACATTTAACACACACAGAAACGAAGATGAATGATGAAAAATTGATTATTTTTGATAATCGATTATCACTTGCGTTGAAAAATGGATTATTTTTGATAATCGATTATCAAAAATAATCTATTTTTTAACGCAAGTGATAATGGGATTCAGAATCCCTTCGTTTCTGTGTGTGTTAAATGTCGCACGGCATAGTAATGCAAGATAATGTTTTACTATAGAATCCTAACATCAGGTTTTATGTAAACGTTTCTAAATCAACCATCAACATAATTTGAAAATGGAATTAAAAATAAAATGAAATAAAGATCACGCGTACCAGCCGTTTCCAATCCGAGCTGATGCAATAAACTGGCAGCCAAGTCGGCTCGGGCCCGCGCCGTGTCCCATCGTGTCGTGTGTAGCGGTGCTCGTAGACGACCGTAGCGGTGTGTCACGCAAAGCGCGCCGGTCGCTCCTGTAGCCACCGCGTGCACAAGTCGCAATGATGATTCTACCTCTTCCTGAAAAAATACGTAGATTTAATATCCAACGAGGACGTACGCCAACAACCTGAACTATATATTTTTTTTATTTTTTATTACTTAGATTTGTGGACGAGCTCACAGCCTACCTGGTGTTAAGTGGTTACTGGAGCCCATAGACATCTACAGCGTAAATGCGCCACACACCTTGAGATACAAGTTCTAAGGTCTCAGTATAGTTATAACGGCTGCCCCACCCTTCAAACCGAAATGCATTACTGCTTCACGGCAGAAATAGGCGGGGCGGTGGTACCTACCCGTGCGGACTCACAAGAGGTCCTACCACCAGTAATGACGCAAATTATAATTTTGCGGGTTTGATTTTTATTACACGATGTTATTCCTTCACCGTGGAAGTCAATCGTGAACATTTTGTTAAGTACGTATTTCATTAGAAAAATTGGTACCCGCCTGCGGGATTCGAACACCGGTGCATCGCTAGATACGAATGCACCGGACCTCTTATCCTTTAGGCCACGACGACTTCAACTATACTTTATTGATTACTTCTAAACGTCTATCATCCTTTGTTGTAACTTTCAGTAATTGTATAATATACTAGCCGTACTCTCCCGCTTCGCTGGGCATTTAAAATGAACATTATTATTTATTGTTATTATTATTAGGGAGGCCAACGCTCATATAAATATTAACCTATCCATTAAATACATGTATTTTCTACATGGATACCAAGTTTCAAGTCAATCGGATGCATGGTTCAGGAGTTATAACGGAACATCCGTAAAAACCACTGTAGATTTATATATTAGTATAGATTGAATTCACGTTGTGATGGAACTATGAGAAAAATTTCCGCGAAGTGACAATTTAACTTAACATTTTAATTAATAGATTAGCAACGCGTGTAAGAATAGAACGACAAGAAACAAATAAAACCGCAAATATTTGAAGGTTTATTTCATCATAAACACAACGATTACTCTTAAATTTGTCCCTGATACATTTATGACGACGGAAAATTTTCCTATTAATAATTCGTAAGCGGCCATCCATCCGAGAGTCGATAAGGTATTGATTGGATTTGATTCGAGTTTTGAAATACAAACGATATTAAAGTTCGAGGCGAATTATGTAATCGTACAAATGAAGCCAATTTAGATCGTCGTGGCTAATCACAAAACAATGTTAAACTTTAACGAGCTTGAAAATTTATGATTTCATAATATTTACCTTTACCATTTAAACGGGATATTTTGTATTATTAAAGAATAAATAATAATAAAAAACTACCTACTTTCTTCCCGAAAGTCGTTTTCTGTTTTGGTGATAAATTATTAGCCCGCGTCTCCGTCCGCGTGGAATAATTACTTTGGCATAATGCTAAGTTTTACCTCCCGCTTAATTTACGTAGAAAGTGAAAATATTTTTGAATTATAAAATTTTAAGGAGCTATTTAAACCCCTATTTTGAAACATTCTTTTATTGGTGCTCCACTTGTATTGGTCAATAAATGGACTAACACTGAAAGAGTTTTTGAAATCGGACCAGTAGTTCCTGAGATTAGCGCGTTCAAACAAACAAGCTCTTCAGCTTTATAATATTAGTATAGATTAATGTTGAACTATTATTTCAAAGCTTCATTCTATAATGCTTCGTCCAGTGTGATTCGGTTCGAATAGCCAATGTAAACAATTGAAATTCGTAGTTGAAATTCACAGGCTGTCCTCTGAATTGACAAACGCAAAGCCTTTGTGTGTGCTAGCCGTCCACTACACAAAAGGGTACTCGCGGAATGTTTATTAGATTGCAGTTTTGTTACAAATTTGCGTGATTTTGTTACGCGATCATATAACCAATTTTTGTGATTTTCGGTCACAGCATCGCTTAGCTACGTATTTTATTAGACATTACTGATGTGCTTAAATCACCTTGATCATATGCATATGTGAAAAGGATCTGAGGGGCTTAAGCATAAAGTTGCCGATTTCATGCAGCGGCTTCTTTTAACCGAAAAAAAGCAAAGTCCTAAGATGTTCAAGGATCGCGCTTGAATTTTTTTTTCACGAAAATCTATATCCAACATTCGAAATTTTATTTTACAATGGTTCTAGTCGAATCTTTAAGGAATGTGCACAGCGAAAACCTTCAACAGTGTTGCAAAATGTTTTAGGTAAAGAGTCCTAACTCGCTTATGGATTTTGGCCAATATTGCAATGTGAAGACACAGACCTCGTACTAACTTGTAGACAAAATGACATGATACCTGCAGCTGGAAACTATATTCACAACAATGACTAAATCAAACGACCTTAAACCAACACTAAACAGTTCAATAGTTACAATAAATATGTATATGTATGTGCAGGAAACATATTGTGATAAGAGGTATACAATAGAAATGAAACTTCAACCTTTTGTTCTAAGGTAGAACGTGCCATTCGAATTGTGAGACCTGTGGGCTCCAGTTAATACGCAACACGAGATGGGTCATTAACATTTTCAGTCTGAATGATTCTCCGAGTTAAACGCTATAAATAGCACGAGCAGCTAAACTTTCTGTGAAATGAAAATCGCGGAGGGGTCTTAGCATCTATATATTTTAATTGTTAACAATATATTAATTAAATAGTTTGTTAGTTACAATAATATGGATATGAAAATATAATTTAAAAAAAAAAATTATACTACAAATAAGTTGTCACTGGTAGCGGTATCAGCGACTCGAACTACTAATGTTGTGGCTTCAAAATAAGAAGCCTCCTCACGATACGGGATGTGTCAAGAATTACCGCTTTCTGTATCAGACTCTTTAACAAACTCTATAGCGAAATTTTCTTGAGGTGTTGGTCGATGCTTTTTGTTATGAAGCCTTGAACCGATATAATTACCGGCCCAATAATAGTTGCATCAATATGGTGCTTGGCGGTAATCTTGTGGGCCAGATATTTTAAATATTTTTTCAGTTAATCCTTTTCTGCTTTAGCGAAGCTCTCGTACCGAGAAATAGTGAAATTAACTAATGCTGTTCAATGCGTAGATGGTTTGTTATTACGATATCAGCTTTATTGGCGACAATACCAATCTAATCAAATCCTAAATCTAAACAAATCCTACCTATCTAAATATTAATATGGGAAGCAAAAATTTTGTACCCCTTTTTACGAAAATTGCGCGGACGGAGGAGAATGAAATTTCCCAAGCTTATAGAGAATGTAGAGATTGAATGTAGAGATGCAGATATTTTTTAAAATTATGCATTAAATCAATAAAAAAAGGATTATACACACCACCATGTATTTGACACCACACATACCTATTTTTTTTTTTTTTGTCAGGAGGAAATCACCGGACTTCCGCCCTCCACTGGGGATGGAGGGCGGGGCATGTCGGAGTTGAACCGACTAAAACCTCCTGTCGCTCAACAACCAGCATCCAAACCTCGCATGAGACAGAACTCATGAAAAGGCAAAGGGGGGAAAGTGAAGCGTTTAGTGCGGAGCACATCTCTCCCATCACCCTCCCCCTCGGGACGCCGGACTGGCGGTCGTCGGCGCCACGACCACCAGTCCTCTCGGTCGGCAGGCTATCCGAAGCCCGCCTAGATGGCGCCGGTTAGAATGGTCTACCCTCGGAATACCCCGCTGGGTCAGAACCAGCGTGGGTTGAGGATAGCCGGCCTTCCATCACCCGGACGCTCTTGCATAAAACGCGTGCAGAGCAGCTTGCACGTCGTCTTCTTAGGTCCCCTTCGCCGGTCCCCAGGCCGACATGTGAGAGAGACCCGAAACACTTAGAGGGCCAGGGCTTGGGCGAAATCCGCCTCCCTGGCCCCCGCTCGACGGCGGCGGGCCTGCGCGTCTCGCACGCGCCCCGCCGCCTCCTTCTGCGAGATGGTGCACTCGCAGAAGTCGAACATCGCCTTCCACGACTCGTCGTCACTGAGCATTGATGCCACAACACCCGGCAACGACAAGTCGTTTCCTATTTTTGCGGACCTAGTAATATCTTTGTTTATTGCATAGACCTTGAGTTATTGTCAAATGGAGAATAGATTATTATTGTTTGTATATAATACTATGTGTCTGTAGTGTAGTCTGGGCGAAATCTATGATTATGTATAATTTAGTATTTGACAATAAAACCATAATAATGTTCAAACTTATAATTTCAATTAATTATAGTCGAATTTCGACTAGGGGGTCCCACTAGTAATAATAAATAGGTCTCAGTAGAGCATATGACAATATTCAAGAACTTGTTATGGTCGGTATGGGTTTTAAGGTACAATCGACGAGACCAGGGTAAGTTCTTAGTGGATAATCGTAGCCAGTTGTTTGGTTATTTGTTTGCCACTGCTACATAATTGTACAGTTGATCGATAATATCAGGAACACGTGAAATACGATGAGATTCGTTTGCGCTAAAATGAAATAAGTGTTTAGCTTCAAGTTCTAATAATAATAATATAAGCATGGCTTAATTTTGCTCTTTTTTATTGCCATATAGGCAGACGAGCATACGGCTCACCTGATGGTGAGTGGTTACCGTCGCTCATGGACGTCAGCAATGCCAGGAGCAGTGCCAAGCCGCTGCCTACCGTTTAATACTCTCCACAAGCCTCGTTTGAAGAAGGACATGTCATAGCGCTCGGGAAACACCGTGGAGGGGAGCTCATTCCATAGCCGATATGTCCATAGATGGTACGTGGCAAAAAAGATCTCTGGAAACGCACTGTGGATGAACGTAGTGGCTCCAGGTAGTATGGATGAACTCTACTCCGGAAGTCTACTACTTTGTGGGGTCGGCATGAATGTCGAGAAGCCTATACAAAATTTATATATTCTATATAAACATGCGAAATACCACTCACTTATCATCAAATCTCCGAAACTATCTCTCCAACAGACTCTTACTCCTGTTCAAAAGTAGTTCAATTAGAACGAATTTTATCCCAAGCCTTTCCAGAATAAATATGTGTTAATAAAATATATGTGAAAGTGAGTATATGTTATTTTTTT